TTAGAAGTCATTAGGGATGTCTTATTGACGACCACAGAAGACAATATCATCCGTTCAGTAGAATGATCTATTTGGATATCAGTGTCTCCATAGCAATTGAATAACACCAGTAACAGTTTTCTGTTCTTCTCATTAGCCACACACTCTAATAACCAAAAGTTCTTGCTCAGTATTAGCTATTATTGTTATAAATTCAGCTAAGTACTATAACCATAGAGTATACACAATCTGACCTCAGTATATTCCGAACAGCATTATAACATCAATGCAAACTTTCCATGCATTCTAGGTCAAGTACAGAAATAGAGAACGGTGTGCTAGGTTTAAAAAGGAAATGCAATATACACTCATGTGCACAGCAGCCGTATTCACAACAGCCCAAATGTGGAAGCAAACCAAGTGTCCATCAAGAACACAGTCACTTGGAAATCAAAGCTTCTGGTCCAATGTGAGCAGGAAGGAGTGAGGGCAGGAACATGAGAGAGGAAGGAGGGAGGACGTCGAAGGAGGTACCCACCAGAAGAGGCAGAGTGAGTCTGCGACAGGAGACATTAGAGAGAGGGCACAGACCCTCCTTACAGTAGGGGATGACGTGTTTTGGGAAGCATGGTGATGGAGTGGATCGGTTCTGATGATGTATGTTGCCTAAGTGTCTGGTACCCAGCAACCACCCAAGAGACATTTGTTACATGAATTACACAAGGCAGTTCATGATCTGAGTGAATGGGTGAGTGAAGAAAAGTACAAGTAAGAGGAGTGACGATGGGATGAATGAATGAACGGGCTGTCAGGCGCTGGGCCATCAGGGCTGCAGGAGGCTTTGCTGATCATGGCCAATAAAAGATCCCGTAGCCTAGCAGCATTCCATATATTTGAGTAGAGAACAACCTCTTCAGTGCCCTTCTCTAATCACCTCACAGGAATCCTGACCAAACCAGATCTAGTGGACAAGGGCACTGAGAAAGGTGTCCTGAAAGTCATGCAGGACCTCACATACCATCTCAAGAGAGGTTATATGATAGTGAAGTGTCGGGGTCAGCAGGAGGTCACGAACAAGCTGAGCTTGGCCGAAGCAACCAAGGAGGAAATGATGTTCTTTCAAACACATCCGCACTTCAGGTAAGATTCTTTAGGACAACCTTGGACTCCATGGAAAGCAGCCCCGCCTACCGGAATTGGCCTAGATGACTACCAAATTATATATAAAAATTATACAATGGGCATAACCTACCCTCGTCTTTATTTCGGTGTTAAAGTTATTGGCTTACTTAAAGAAACCATTTTTTCTTGGACTCTGATGAAAAATTGTAATAGGGTATTTCATAAGGCAGAGCACACTTCGGTTTCTCAAAATGTTTTCACTTGCTTTCTCATTTGAGTCCCACAAAATCTTGCAAAACACTGGGATGTTTCCCGTTGAATCGGGTACTTTTTTCCTTTCACTTTATTTAGGAACTTGCTGTTCCTGAACAGCAAGTCCAGGGGGAGAAGGATAATAAGATATAGAGGTCACTCTTGCTTTAAGGAGAGACGGTGGGAAAAATGGTGAATTTTTGCAGACCAGGTTTGCTACTTACTCTGTGCCCTTGGGAGATGACTCAGCCTCGCTGAGTTTTTGCTTTCTCATCCTGCTAATTCTTCACAGGATTGTGGTTAGGATTAAATAATATGCCACACGCACGTGTTCTGGCCAGCACTCTATACATACCACCCTGGTTCCTTGTTCCTCTCTGCTCCTGCCCTGAATGGAAGAAACAGATCATTTTTCAGTAGTGTTAGGGGTCACAGGGAGAGAAAACTCTGCTCACCAAACAGAGAGAAGATTCTGTAATAATCACACCCATGGTTCTCGACCCCGAGGGAGCAGCGGAATCTGCGAGAGAGTTTGTTAAAATCCAGCTGGCTGTGCCCTGTCCCGGAGTTTCTGAGGTCTGGGGTGTGGTCCCAAAATTTATGTCTCAAGTTCCCAGTTGAAGTCGACGTTGCTGACCCAGGGACCACACTTTGAAAACCACTGTTCAAGGTGTCTGGGGAAGTTAAGTCTTGGATAAAAAAGTGTGCTGAAGTGCTTTGTTGTTGAACATCTGAGATTTAATCCTTGTGTGCCCACATGCTGGGACTCAGCCCTTGCAGGAAAGGCACTCACAGTAGCACTGGAAAAATGATCCTACTGGGTCCTTCGTGAATTTATGTTAACAGCAAACACTTAGCAACCAGACCACCTGGTATGTGACCCTGGACGAGCTACTTAACCTTCTGGTGCATTTGCCCTTCTTTAAAGTTGGTTGTTCCATGATTAAATATTTGTAAAGCCCTTAGAATCATGTAGGCGCTTACTAAGCACAGTGTAAACATTTTTTTTAATTTAATTTTATTGTGGAAAGAACACTTATCATGAGGTCCACCCTCCTAACAAAAGTCTAAGTGAACAATGCATTATTGTTGACTATTGGCACGATATTTTTCAGCAGAGCTCTGGAACTTACTTACCTTTACTTATCTTTCATAACAGAAACTTTTTGCCCTTTGGTTAGCAAGTCCTCATTTCTTCCTCCCCCCAACACCTGGCAACCACCATTCCCACTCTCTGATTGCGTGAGTTTTAGATAGCTCACGTGAATGGAATCATGTAGTGTTTGTCTTTCTGGGACAGGCTTATTTCACTTAGCATAATGTTCTCAAGGTTCACTCATGTTGTCACATATTGCAAACTTTCCTTCTTTTTAAAGGCTGAATTATATTCTATTGCATGTATCTACCACAGTGTTTATCCATTTACCTTTCCGTGAACATTTACGTGTTTCCACATCTTGGCTATTGTGAATGGTGCTACAATGAACACAGGAGTGCTAATAACTCTTTGAGATCTTGATTTCAATTCTCTTGAATAAATGCCCAGAAGTGAGATTGCTGGATCATATGGTAGTCCCATTTTTAATTTTTTAAGGTACTTTCTTACTGCTTTCCATAGTGGCTGCACCATTTTGAATTCCCATCAACAGTATACAAGGGCTCCAATTTCTCCACATCTTTGCCAGCACTTGTCTTTTGTTTTTTTGATAATGCCGTCCTAAAAGATGTGAAGTGTCTAATTGAGAAGAACATCATTTTCGCAAAAACACTTTGCATTTTGATAATTTTTTCATAACATAGTTCTCAACATTTAAATATTTCATTTACAATTTTGAATTTAAGTTTTGTACTATTTTAAATTAATTTAAAAATTTATATCAAGACTCAATTATGATAATTTGAAATATCAGGGAAAAAATTAGTACATTTCTGCCTAGAGATACAAATACAAACTGGAGAGAGAGAGAGAGAGAGAGAGAGAGAGAGGCTTAGACCTTATCAACTTCTTGGTACCCTTATCCACAAACTGCATCTAAATCTCAATGAGCTCATCCTGCCTGGCTGGCTGCACCAGCATCATTCACACAGGTGTCTTTACCTGTAGTGTTTACCTGCTCGGGCTGTAAAGGTAGTGAACGGGATGCAAAGTGGAACTCTACTGCTTACCAGCTCAGCAATGATATCAAGCAATTTGGCTCTCTGAGCCTAAGGTTCCTCTCTTGTGAAAAAGAGGCAATGAAGACACATGCTTTGTACCGTGGTGCAGGGCTTCACTGCGACGTGAAGGGCTTGGAATGATGCTTGGCCCAAAGATAACCCTCCTTGGTGCCTCTCTGCATCCTTCCTGCTCTTCCTCTTTGTTAAATTGTTGTTAGCAACGTTGACTGCTTAGGACTGTACCCAGCCTGACAGCGACACACAGACATAGCCTCTACCAAAGCACCATTTCTCAGTTTGTAATGCTCAAATGAGCACCAACATAACATTTTGCTAAAGAAGTCTTCCATTATATTCAAGCATCAGCTACAAACTGGTACTTGCCATCTGCCTCTACAAGGATTAAATCATGAGCCGTTGTAGTTGCTGACCTTCAACACCTCCTGAAAGGAGTTCAGGGTGGAGATCAGGAATAAGGCACTCTGTGCTCTGGGAAAAACTCGCAGAACAGGTCTTCAGATGGTTAGATAGTCTCAGAAGACTTTATGAGCCCAATTCTTGTATCTCCTCATATCTAGAAAAGCACTAAAATCCTTCATGGTGACGTCTGCTCCTCGTGACTAGCAGTAACCTTCACGAGACGAGCAGAACCTTCTGCAAAAAACATGTTGTTGATTGCATGGACTCTCCCTTCACCAAAACCACATAGGTACTGACCAACCCCCCTAACTCTTTGGGGCAGTTTCTCAGAGCTCTCTGAGATGCTGTCTCCCGGGCTATAGTCCTCATTTTGCCCCAAATAAAACTTCACTCACATTGTTCATGTTGTGCATTTTTTTAAAGTCAGCACAAGGATACTTCTTCTCTCAATGAAAAGCACTGAGCCAAACACAGCAAAACAACAAAAACAAAAACTGGCCCCCATCTGATTCCTCCCCGCTCTGGTCACTTGACAGAACTGCAAAGTTCTTGACACCAGATGGTTGAAGCTGTAGTGCATAGCATTGCATCCAAAGCCCTTCTTGAGCTCTTAACAGGGGTCCATCTCAACAAGCTTCACACAATAATAGAAATTCCGGATCCCCTCAAATGCTCTCAAATGAGACTCTGCCCGTATACCTAAAAACTTTGTCAGCTGATTTCATCAAGCTGCAGCCTTTCATTGTTTGCTCTTCTGTTGTTCAGAAATTGCTCCCTTTGTTAGAGAATCAAATAAAGGAGAGTCACCAGAGGGCGACAGAGGAGCTGCGCCAGTGTAGAGATAACCTCCCCAGCAACGAAGCCTATAAAATGTTCTTTCTGATTGAGGTGAAGATTACCGGGGACCCCGTGTGACCCTTGGGCACAGAAACTGGCTTCTCCTTAGATGGTCGCATCCTTCCTGGTGGCCTTGCACATCTTGTGGTGGCCCTCCCTATATAAGAGCTTCCCCGTCTGTGGCTTGCGGGAGCCCTGCCCTGCCCTCCCTGGGTCTCACCTGGGGAATGAAGTGGCTGGTGGGTCATTGGACCCCTTTGAAACCCCAGGTCCCACACCACACTCAGCTGTCCCAGATCCCAGCTCTGTAATATGATTACAGCCCAGAATGATGCTTTTATCTCATTTTTCAGAAAATTAAGGTGTTTAATCAGGACATTGAAAAGTTAATAGAAGGAGAAGAAATTGTAAAGGAGAAAGAGTCCCGCTTATATAACAAAATCAGACAGGAGTTTAAAAACTGGATACTCATACTTGCAGCCAATACCCAAAAAGGTAAGTCTGGGGACAGGGCTCCCGCAAAAGCAGCATCGTGTTTACCAAGACCAGAAGCTACTTCCGGCACGTGAAAAGTGTGCGAAGAGCTGACTGTGCCCACACGAGGGACCCCTTAGTATCTGTAACAGCTTCCCACCCATCAGTGTGGTGCGCTGACCTCACCAATTCAATAGAAGACGATTCCACCACCTACTTCCAGCCTTCTTCTGCTCCTTTGTTCCGAGGCGAGGCAATTTCACTTACCCCGTCTCTTCCCTCCTCTTCACCCCTAATCCAAGACCAGAGAGGTCAATGCTTTGACAAGAAACTCCTTGCTTCCCCTGGCAGAATTCCAACTTCCATTCTGCTTCAGCCCAAATGCCAATAGGGTGTATGCCCGTGGTGCGTGCGTGCGTGTGTGTGTGCGTCTTTGTCTTGGCACATGATAAAAACAGCACTATTCCTTCCATGGTAGGAGTCCTCCAGCTGTAGTCTGGGTGTATTCTTGGGAGAGCTGCAAGTGCCATAAGAATTTTTGAGTTTCTATTTTCATTTAATTAATCAGATTTTTTCCCTCCCAATTATAAACATTCAACTTCTTTCTTGGGTTGATGACTCTCAACTGAAACACCTCCTTGGCCAGTTGGTGGAAAACAAATCTCACGTCTCCAGCTATCCCAGGGGCTGTGTCTGAGCCCCGGGTTAGGTGACGTGCCTGGTCCTTGATCACCATTCCTCCAGGCTGGCAGCTTGCAAGATGTATGCGTCCTTCCTGGGCCTTCGTGGTTGGTCCCCTGGACGCTCCATGCTCCCGACTACAGGGCTGGCCCTCGTGGGCGCTTCCCCAGCCCTGCCAGGGCTCAGAGCGCTCTGCTGCAAACACAGGCTGCTCTGTGGCTGAGAAAGTCCAAGGGCCTCTGCCCCCTGTGCCGTCCTGGGATGAATAAGGTCTGGGCACGGCTACACGACACCCACCCAGACGCACTCCCCCTGGGTCTGTACCCTGTTCTCCTGAGCCACATCAGAACCAAGGGTCTTGTGTCCTCCCGTGAAACTCCTCTTGGGAAGTGGTGCATAGCCCGCTTCTAGTCTGCAAGGTGGGGGGGGGGGTGTCGTCACATACGTGGTTTTGGCCACATACACGCCTAAAAAAGAAGGAAAACCTGCCCTTGTGAAGCTCACAGTTTCTCTCTTCTCTCAAATTACTGTTTCTGCCTTCAATGCACAAAAGTCCATTTGAAACTCAAAAGCCAAGGAGTGAACCCATTCCACTATGTCCTCTCTCCCGTTCCCGGGATGCCTTTGACCATGTAGGTGACACGGGAGTCGCAGGATTTCTGGGAAACACGGATAGGGAGCTGTTATCCCACTGTGCCCATTAGCCCTGGAGACATTCTTGAATGCTTGGATTCAAGCCAACTACAGAGACAAGAGTGATGGGCGTGAAAATGTAGAATAAACCATAATGGAGGAACCAGAAGGACGGGGATGTGGGAGGCGATGGAGGTCGGGGCAGAGAAAAGGAACAGGTGTGTGCTCCCTTTGGCGGCAAGTATACTAAACAAACAAACACACAGACCGGCAGTAGAGAAGGTGAGCCTGGCACAGGCAAGGAGCAGAATCACAGGATAGGACAGGTGAGGACAGCAGTAGAGGGTGAAGGGGGAGCTCCTGAAAATCGCCATTTAAGTCTCAGGTCTTCTTTGACCCCGCATTATTTTTAACTCCGTGTTCAACATAATAGTACTTCCTAGGCTGTTTAAGCAACATGGCGGGGGGTGGAGGGAGAAAAAGAGAAGTAATGTGTTTCTCTTTCTTATTCAACCAGAAGAAGATTGAAGACATAAAAGCAAAACAAGCGGAAACAGCAGAAAATCTGACCCGGCTTCAGTTCAGGATGGAGCAATTGATTTATCGTCAAGATCAGATTCACAGCGTGTGGCTCTGAACAGAGTCTGAGAAGAGATCTTTAACCCAGTGGGAACGCCTCCACAGAATCTTCAGTCGAAATCGCCCCTTTTAAATGATCCGCCTTCATTTTCCTCCACTGTGGAAATTTGGGTCCACCTGAATGTGTGTTTCTCGGTGAGCATGTAGGGGTACAGGGACAGTGCACTGCGGTCCCTGCCGAGCAGAGAGCGGGGTAACCCCGTTGACAGCTGCTTAGCTGAGCAAAGAGGGGAGAGACCACACTGCTGTGTACCAAGCCCTTTGGCTGTGAAAAACTACTCATATATTATCTCATTATAGTTTTATAGTAACCTTACCAAAGCACTTTTAATTTGCCCCCAAATCAGGTTTCTCATGTAGCAGAGAATGTACTCAAAATTAATTCCATCTCCAAAGTTCTTTGTATTTTGTGCTATGCATAAATTACAAAATTACTATTATCAGAATACAGCAAAGCGCTAACTTGACTGGTTATAGTTTAGCTTCCCTTCATAGTTCAGAAGGCTCTTGGCTCCTGAAGTGCCTCAAACTTGCGAGGTCCACAAAGTGGGAATGAAAAAGGCTTTCCCTAGATTTTGCGACCCAGTCGGCTTCGTGGTTTCTAACACTCCATCCGTGGACTAAAGTATTAGGGCGCATAGAGAAGGAGGTAGCTTTTAAACTGCAAAGAAGCCCAACTCCTGAAGCCCTTTCTCGATAATAGAAAGTAGAGTTACCCAGGTGTGGGGTCCAGCTGTCAGGCAAACTGGAGATGCTGAGGAAAGGAGGGAATGAGGCGAGCGCTGACACAGGTCCCGATCGGCTCCCAGATGGGACCCAGGGTTCACAGCTGGGAGGTCCCTTCTGGGAGGAGAAGCGGGGGTGGGGGAGGAGCTCCCAGAAAGGCTGGGATGTCTAGAACGTGGTATGGGTTTGCTAGCCTACAGGTGGGTTCTTCATGCCAGAGGGAATACCTGGGCAGGGAAAATTGGGCGACCCAAATCGATCCTTCCCTTGGTTTGGTACTGACCGCTGGCGTGGAGGTGGACGGGACACCAGGACTCAGCAAGTAGACCGTGCATGCATCCAAGAACTTTTCTCTGCAGCCACAGGCCTTGGGCCCAGACCCCTCCAGCTGACCCTTCTTATCCCCTCTTCCAGGAAACCGGCAAACGTCTCGCCAACCCGATCCCATTCATAATTCAGTATTTTATGCTCCAAGAGAATGGCGATTACTTACAGAAAGTCACGATGCAGATACTACAGGAAAAACAGTACTATTCCTGGCTGCTTCAAGAACAGAGTGACACGACAGCCAAGAGGAGATTCCTTAGGGAGAAAATTTACCGGCTGGCTCAGGCACGGCGCGCTCTCTACGAATTCCCCCAGTTAAAGTGGTAAATCCCAAAAGAACACCAGTGCTGCTGGGTTTTGCTATGCGCGTGACTGTAAGGGAGTTGGTACAGGAAGTGGTCTCATTTGGGGCCAGACTTTTCTGTTGCTGTCTGTGTCCATCTTCACTGTGCTGCACTCAGCACCAGAGTTTATATCTGAAGTCCCGCGACCCACAGAGCTGTCACCTCCACCGGGAGGTCTTCCTTGTCCTCTGTAAAGAGGGGGCTCTCCAGCCCTTGGGCCCCAGAGCCCCCAGTTACAGCATTCTTAAATACTGCTGGCATTCTTTGTTAATTTTTTACCCCTCTGCATTAGACTATGAGACCTCAGAAAGGTAAGGTCAGTTCATATTCTTTTGTATTTCCAGAATCTCGCATGGTGCCTGGAGCATAGTAGCCACTTAATAAATATCTCATTGAACCAATGAATGATGGAGATTACCTGAGGCTATGGCTTAAATCCAGACTTTGGTTGTTTGGAATGGTGTCCCTTAGCTGGTCACTTTCTGACAAATTCAGTCATGCCATGCCACCTGCTTCCCATCATTTGCTGTGATGGTGTTTCCCAGCGCCCCGGGAGACAAGAGGCTGAGTGATATTATTTTTAATTTGCAGTGAACTCCATTGCTGTGTTAAGTCTTAAAGAGAAATTTAATAAGGAAAAACATTTTTTTAAAAAGCAGAGAGCTTCACACCAGTGGTCATCTCTAGATTGAAGGATTATGGTTAATTTTATTTTCTTCTTTGAACTAAGCTAATGACCTCACAGGAATTTTAGGAAGGTTAAGTGAAACCATTTCTACAAACTATGGGTCCCAAAGCAGGTGTTCAAAAATGCCAGCAATTTTTCCCTCCAAAAAAGACCCCTTTTTTTCTTTACCTCTAGGTCTGTCAAGAAGCCCTCAATTCTAAAGCTCTTCCAGCCAGTTCTTATGTTTAGTTCTTTGATACTTTTTGACAATTTTTGTATATGGTGTTAGGTAAGAGTCCTTTGGCGTATGCATATCCAGTTTGCCCAGCACCATTTTTTGAAACGACTGCTCTTTCCCTATTGATCTTGGCACTCTTGTCAAAATCATTTGAGCATATATGCAAGGACTTGTTTCTGGGCTCTGTTCTATTGCATTGGTCTATATGACTGTCTTTATGACATTACCACACTGTTTTGATAATTGTAGATTTGTCGTAAGTTTTGAAATCAGGAAGTGTGAGTCCTCCAGCTTTGTTCTTTTTTTCTTTTTTTTTTTCTTTTTTTGGCTATTCAGGGTCTCTTGAAATTCCATATGAATTTTAGGATGAGTTTTTCTATCTTTGCAAAAAAATGTCATTGGAATTTTGATAGAAATTGTGCTGAATCCATAGATAGCTTTGGGTAGTATTTGCATCTTAACAGTATTAAGTCTTTCAATCCATGAACATACGATGTTTTTCCATTTATTTGTGTCTTCTGTAATTTCTTTAAGCAATATTTTGTAGTTTTCAGTGTACAAGTCTTTCAATTCCTTAGTTAGTTACCAAGTATTTTGTTCTTTTTGATGCTATTGTAAATGAAATTGCTTTCTTAATTTCCTTTTCAGATTGTTCATAATTAGTTTACATAAATGCAACTCATTTTTATGTGTTGATTTTATATCTTGCTACTTTGTTGAATTCATTACTAGTTATAACAGTTTTGTGGACTATTTATGGTTTTCTACATATAAGGTCATATCATCTGTGAACAGAGATTATTTCACTCCTTCATTTTTGACTTGGATGCCTTTTATTTCTGTATCTTGCCTAACTGCTCTGGCTAGAACTTCCAATACTATGTTGAATAAAAGTGGCAAAAGTGGGAATCCTTGTCTCACAAAGTTACTCTGATTTTAAAGAACTTTTGTAATATTGAACCTAAAGATTATGAGAAGAAAATTTAAAAGACAAAACACTGGTTTCACTTTAGGTGTCATACTTTTTTTCTTTTTGGCTTTTCCCCCTCATTTTATGAATTGGGTCACATGTACAAAAAGTAGCAGAGCTGAAGAAAAGAATCAAATCCCTTCATATAATAAATGCTGTTGTGAACAAGCAATTCTGAGAAAAATAAAATCTGATGTTTGTTATTTGTTTCATAAATTGTATAGTCAAAGCTTCCCCTAAATGTTTAATACATTTCACTCATGTGTACACATACACAGCCTCAACCAAAGCTTCTCATTTACCACCTCAGGACTGACCCCAAAACCTAGGTGCGAGGCATCCAGGGAAGATGCTTGGAGCCAGGTGTATGAGTTTCCTGGGGCTCCGATTAAAGCAACTTTCCTTTCTGCCAATATTTGCCTCTTGAATACTGACTTCTGAGCAGTGAGCAGTCAAATCTGAGTTCGGTAACAAACCCACTACACCTGGCTTTCCAACAGGTCAAAGCATGGAGCTAACTTCTCGACAAACACCTTAAGATCTGCACAGCTTAACACAATCCAAGGGTGCTTCCTGCTCACATCACAGTGATCCAAGGTGGCTTGGCAGGGTTCAGAGCCACACTGTCCCTTAGGGCACCAGCCTCCTCCCACCTAGTGACCCCACCATCTCAGTGGCCTTTGATCCTCCACCACACCCTCTACATCTGGCCAGCAGGTGAGGCAAGAGAGATTGGTGAGGATTGCAAGGAAGGTTTCCAGGAGCTAGGCTTGGGAGTAGTGTACATCACTACTCCTACGCTCCGTGGGCAGACATCAGGCCTGTGGCCACACCTAACTGCAAGGCAGGCTGGGAAATGTGGTCCAGCTCAGCAGGAGGCGGAGCAAACAGGATTTGGACATTGCCACACCCACCCCTACATCCATGGAGAATATTCCTTGAACAAAACACAGGAGTAAAGAAACAGACATGTTCCCTGCTCTTCCTTCTTATCCCAGGCTCACTCACACACACACGCATACACACACACACACACACACGTTTCCTCCTCCAATGCTACTGTGGATCTGGGGTTTGTTCATAACAAATGTGGAAATAAAGGAAGACTACCCAAATGAGAATGTAGATGGAAAAAAAAAAAAAAAGAAGCTCAACCTAAAAGTTGAGAGTTATGGTTTATTTGGTGGACATTCTTAGGACTTCAACCCTGGAGAGACAGCATCTCAGACAAAAGCTGAGAAAACTGTTCGGGGGAAACCAGGATATACAGGACTTTTTGCAACAAAGGGCAGGTAGTTGGAATGTCAAAAGATTGTTAATTCAAGAAAACCAGATATCTCAAGTTAAGGAGTTTAGCTCTTTTCTATGTATGGGAAGAGGCAAGGGGCTAGGCTCACTGGAATCATTCCCTTGATGTGCACCTCAGCTACCTGGGGCCAGCATCCTGTGCTTTCTCATCCTGCGTTTCCACAAGCTGCACTGTTAGTGCAGTGCGCTGTCACAGCTGCACTGTCGGATGGCTGCAGTCTGATGACTGCTAGATGGTGGGTATTTCTCGTTTCCATCCTGAGTTCCTTCAGGGCTCACTGTTGGGGCGGCTGCAATTGCTGATGACTGTGACATCCTTTGTTTACTGATGGCAGGCAGCATTCTTAGTCCACAAGAACTAGCAAAGTTACTTATTCACAGCTGGCTATAGCAAGAGGGCTCACCACCAGGACTCACATTTTGTCAGAGACTCAACGGCAGGCAGAGGAGTGGGAAAGCTTTACAGTGGAAAAAAAGGCTCAGACTGCTCTGAGAGATTGCTCCAAAGAGGTAAAGGAGGACCCAGGATATTTGTGAACTTTTTTTGCTGGGAAAAACATGTCATCAAGCATAAAAAGATTACTGCTAATCACAAAGGACAGATATCTTAAGTTAATGATCTCAGTGCTGTTCTATGTATGGGAAGATGCAAGAATCTGCGGTCCTTGAAATTTTTCCTTAGGTAGGTATCTTAACTCTCTAAGAGCTGGTATATCCAAAGCACAGTATGCCTCCCGTTTTTCTCCATCCTGAATTCCCCTCAGGTGCACTGTGGGTGGGCAACCACGGGGACCAACGGCTTGATCCTTGTAGAACTGGAATGGCAGGCAACATTTTTTTCTTTAGAGTCCTAAATTAAAAGTAGGGACAAAAAAGTAGGGACTCTATTTGATAGGGACAGAGTAAAAGGACAAAGTAGGCGCTTAAATAGCTAATCCTACTAGGGGATTATAAGTAAAGAAAAAAGTATGGGAGACCCCTGTAAATGATCAATCAAGAAAGTAGGTTTTCTTTTTTTGTTTTTAACTTTATTTATTTATTTTAAAATTTATTTATTTTTGACTGTGTTGGGTCTTTGTTGCTGCACGCGGGCTTTCTCTAGTTGTGGCGAGCAGGGGCTACTCTTCATTGCAGTGCGTGGACTTCTCATTACAGTGGCTTCTCTTGTTGCGGAGCACGGGCTCTAGGTGCATGGGCTTCAGTAGCTGTGGCACGCAGGCTCAGTAGTTGTGGCTCGTGGGCTCTAGAGTGCAGGCTCAGTAATTGTGGCACACGGGCTTAGTTGCTCCACTGCATGTGGGATCTTCCCAGACCAGGGTTCAAACCCATGTCCCCTGCATTGGCAGGTGGATCCTTAACCACTGCACCACCAGGGAAGCCCAAGAAAGCAGGTTTTCTTAACCACAAAATCAAGTATGCTTGTTTAGCAACAAAACCATGCAACAGAAGCATGAGACGTGCCCCCAAATGATAAAACAATGGTGGCGTGAGACCCACATCCGGCACAGTGAGCTCAGAAAGTTAATGACTCCTAGGACTTGCTCCTCTGCACACGCTAAAAACAAATATATAGGGAAAAGTGACATTATACTAAAACCTGAGATGATTTACCATTTTTAGCGTATGTTACCACCTTTTTGCTCATTTCCCTTGTGCCATGGCAATCCTGACTTGACCAGGTAGGGACAAGAAAACTCCCCCACCTGACATGGAGGCGGAGCTGATGATGGAAGCGTGACGTCTACTCAAGAATGAGGAAGAAGGTGCCCTTTTCCCCCTCCCCACTTTCCCTATGATTATAAAACTGTAGCCCACTAACTTCTTGGGGAGCAGAAAGCTCTCATCCACCTGCTTGTAAGCCTCACAAGTGTCCTATTCTAAGACATCACTTCTTACCTATCACTCTGCCTCTGGCTGAGTTCTTTCTGTGCTGAGACATAAAGAACCAGAGCTCCTCGGAGCCCCCCCAAACACCACCTAGAAGTTTCATAGTAACCAAATTGAAACCATGCCCCCCTAGATTTGACAGAAACTGATAGCTAACAGGAATTCTCGAGCCTGCCTTGCAGAACAACAGATAGGGGGTAGCTTGTCAAAACCCCTCAGCTTGTAAACTGCCTTCGCCAATTAAGCAGCCTTTAGTTTCCTTTCTTCCTTCCTTCCTTCCTTCTTTCCTTCCTTCCTCCCTCCCTCCCTCCCTTTCTTTTTCTCTTTGATTGCACACCTTCCCAGCTACACATAGCCCAGTTGTTCTACCAGAACTTGGCTCAGGTCCTGTACAGTGTGAGCCAGCTAAGGCTGGTTGGGACCACTGACCCTAAACCTGGGCTTGTGCAGGTGTCCAACATATGGCCTTTTGAGGCCAGAGGGCTGGAAAACTCCACCCTCCCATCATGTTATGCGCCTCCGGTGTGAATATGCAGAAACCAGTGATAAATGGAATATTTGCTGCCGTGTCAGTAAACAAAGGGTGTCACAGTCGTCAGCAATGGCAGCCACAGCCTATGGTGAGCTGGTGAGCCCTGAGGGAACTGAGGATATAAAACACAGGATACTGGCCCCAAATAGCTGAGGTGCACATCAAAGGAATGATTTCAGTGAGTCCAGACTCTTGCATCTTCCCATACATAGAAAAGCACTAAATTCCTTAACTTGAGGTATTTAGTTTCCTTTTATTAACAGTAATCATTTGTTCCTACTACCTGTCCTTTGTTGCAAAACTCCTATATATCCTAGCTCCCCCCTCACCTCCTTGGAGCAGTTCTCTCAGGCTTACTTGAGATGCTGCCTCCCAGGTGTGAAGTTCTAAAACTTCCCGCCGAATAAAACATAACGCTCAACTTATAGGTTCTGAATAATTTCATAGTCGACCCATGTAACCCAGATGCGCCTGCGCAAGACACTGATTACCTCACCTTTTTTCCCACTTCCAGTCACCTTTCCCCAACTCTAAATATCTAAACCTCCACGCCTTCTGGGAGGCAGGTCTGAGACTTGTTCTCCCTTCCCCACGCTTGACCGTC